TAGAAATTCTTTATTAGTAACTTTGTTTCCTCTTTTAAGAGGGTTTGACACATGATTTATATAACAACAGTTACAAAGTATCATACGTTCACTCCACCCTTCTCTTACTAAATCTTTACTTTGGATTTCTTTCCATATTTCGTCTTTTAACTGACGAAACTTTGATAGGCCAGACTCCTTACATTCGAAGCATTTTTTAGCATTTTCTATTTTGAATATAACATTAACGTGGTGGGATTCAGAGGGATTCAGCAGATATTGTGTTCTATGATATGAAGGCTTCAAGTTTATTTAGTAATGTATCAGCACTTAGCTTATTATGCAAGCGAGTAATACAAGATGTCTGAAGTACTTTAAAAGGATATAAAAAAAATTTTTTATGTATTGTGTAATGTTAAATGACGATCTACATATGGGACACTGTCCCTGCTGTTGTGTTGTATTAAATTTGAACATGGAACAATTACACTAGCTTTCAAATTTCAGGGTGGTATTATGATTGCTGTTGATTTGTGTACTTCTGCCAGAAGTTACATTGGTAATTAAAAAATTTTTATTGAATCATTTTGATCTTTAATACATCTAATATATCTATGTAATTGCTAATTTATGTATGTCTTTTAATGTTTAGCTTCACAAACTGTAAAAAAAGTTATCGAAATCAATTCATATCTTTAGGAACTATGGCCGGTGGTGTTGCTAATTGCCAATTCTGGGAAAGAGAACTTGACAGACATTGTCGGTGAGTTTATACATATCAATAATATTCATAAATACTATCATGTTGATATATTATGTTTTATATTATTAGATTGTACGAATTGAGTAATAAAGAACGAATTTCTGTCGCTGCTGCTTCTAAGTTATTGGCTAATGTGGTATACCTATATAAAAGAATGAGAATCTCAATGGTATTTAATAATAATATTTTATTAATTTTTAACTTTGTAATAGTGTTCATAATTATTTAAGATTTCAAGGATATATATTATATATATATATTTTTACTTTGGCAAGACTTTATTTCAAAATATATATATAATATAATATATATGTATACAATTTATATTTATATTTTATTTTACTACCAAATTTGATTTACAATGTTCTTGCAATGTGGCCAAAACTGTAATGAATTTTCATAATAAAAAAAAATGAAATTAGAAAAAATACTGATGCTTTACTAAAAAGTTTAACAAAAGATTTAGGCAATAACTTATCTAAAGAAGACATCGAAGAAGACAAGAATAACAATGAAGATTTAAACGAAATTCATGAAATATCTAATGAAGAAATGATTAAATGTCAATTTGAAAATGCAAAAAAGTTATTTTTTGAAATGTATAAAATTAATATAATAAATAAATAAATAAATAAAACAATAAATTAATGAATAAATTTTAAAAATTAAAGTAAAAAAATTAGTTGATCTAAATCTGAAGTTGCAGTTCGCTATTGATAATGAGTATGGCGTGATACATAATGAAAATCACGGCATAATATATCACCAGCTTATATAAATAGTAGTATAAAAATTGATCTACATTTATTCGTCACATGGGTAGTTCATATT